GACTTTTTTCCGGCCAAATTTGGCCACTTTGATTCGTCGCATAATTGGCAATTATCGTCGGAGCCCAGAGCCACGTCCAGGTCCCAAGAGTGAAGTCGTGGGCGATACCGCCAAGAGGGATATCTCTCTTTCTCTCTCTTGTTATCTCTCTTAGCCAGTGTGATGAAGCACGCAAAACCTGCGGGTTGTCTTTGTCGGCCGAAGGATTTATGCGGCTAATGTGCGTCCGTTTCATTGTTTATTGAGCTCTGCCCACAGGGGCATGGGCATGGGCATGGGGCATGGTCAGGTGCAGTGCCAGTCAATGGGAGAGCTGTGGAGCCATTTATTAATTGCATTTCCATTCACTTTGCCTCCAGTCTCCAGTCGCGATCTTAGGCCTTAGGCCCCACAAGTGAATGTGGCACACACTCACACTGTGGCATTCGAGAAAAACTCCTGCACGCACATTTGCATTTTATAGCTGAAATTAGCGTCTAATTGGAGTTTACACGCTGCATATTTTATTCGCAAATAAATTGTGCTGCTGTGGTGGTGGGGCTGCACTTTTCGATTTGGGGGTTTGGCTGCGGTTTTTGCGGTTTTTCATTTGCCATTTGCTGAATTTGTCAGTGTTTCGCGCTCTCTCGATTCAAATAAAACCGAAAATCGAATACCGCAGTTCGAAAAAACAGGCAACAAGTGCCCCAATCCATTCACCACACACACGCGCGGCACGCACACCGGCCTGCTGTCCCGCTCGCTCGCTTTGCCTATGCGTGGCACTATAATTGCAAATTACAAATACATTCAAATGCCGATCAAGTGCGACACACACCTTCGCACAGCCAGCGACACACAGACACAGGGACACACGCACAGGTGGCTGACAAGCGGCTGCTCGGACTGCAGGTAGGCGTGTTTATTAGTCGGCCTTAAAACGCACACATTTCCAAAATGGCGACCATATCACTGGCATAGCAATAACAACTACTGTAATATCCAATTCGATAAGCCGAAAAAAGAAAATAAAAACTAAAACTTAAAGGTGACACGAGTTGCTGGCTTTGCTTTACAGGTGCTGTAGATCGGTGAGATTGATATTGCAACACTGTATGGGAAATTGGGAGAATAAATATCCCCGTGAAAGGGATATTCCCCTCCTCATGAAGGGATATTTGAAGCTTCAGTCCTGGAATGCAGCTCGGAATTACAGTTGCACTTTTTCTTGCGTTCCGTTTTCTACATTTCGTCTCGCTTCCTCGACAGACATCGGATACGGCGCATGTCGTCAGGCTGGGACCTGGGGCACTTCTCCTGTTACCGCTGCCGGCTCCTGCCGCTTGTTGAACATGTGCTTGGAAGCTGCAGCTGCTATCTATCGGCCGGCCGCGGTTTAGTCTTACTCCCAAGTGACAGGCGCTGGCTACCAGCGGGCAGCGTGAAATTCGATATGCCATTTGGATGTGGATGTGGATCTGGATGTTCTGCGCTGGGACTGCGCTGCAAGTGCGCTGCAAGTGCGCTGCACCACGATTCGCTTCCCACTTTTGGCCTGGCATTTTCCAATTAACTTCGCATTAGCCACCGCCCAAAGTTCTGTGGTGGGGACTTTCATATTTCGCCTCTGCCGCTTGTCACTTGCGGCCATGTAACGTCATCCTCAACATGACAGACGCGGGCTAATCCACACCTACCCGCTGTGGCCCAAGTGGCCAGCCGTCTTCCGTTTGCTGGCAAAATTATTAACGCCATTAACGGCAATAGAAATATTTGTGTTGGCTAGCCCAATCCCCAATCCCCCTGCTGCTCACGGCCAAACGGGTTGCAGTTGCAGCTCCGGGCCACAGGGGAAAGGAAAAAGATTACAAGTCATGGCTACAAGCGCCTGCGACTGTGGCCCACAAATGTGACTAATGGCATTTTTGAATGCAGATGCGGACGCAAATGGGATGGAGAGAGAGAGACAGCGAGAGAGTGTCATGGATGGAGCTGAAGCTGGAGCTTAGGCCGCGACTCCTCTGCAGTTCTTTAAGTTTATAGGCAACAATTTTTAACGCCTTGCCAGGCAGGCAGTCAGATCAGCAGATCGCGGATTCCATCCGCATGCCCATGTGCGTGTGCTTTTCTGCAGCGTCATTAATTTTGCCATGAATTGACAAAAACATCATAAACTACTTGTTGAACAGAAAATCCACTTCGGGCGACAGCATCCCAGCCCACGCGCCAATCCGGGGCTGCGCCGAGACGGGAGACGGGTGGCGTTGCAGATGCCGTTGCCGCCCGGCAGGCTCATGTTCAGCTTTGTGCTGCGCCTGTGCGTCTGTGGGGAGCGGCTGGCAGCCTCATAAATATGGCAAAGACTTCCTTCCCCTTCCTATCCCAGCCAATGACCTGCAACTGGAGGGCTTGAAGGCAAATTAATGGGCCCAAAGAATGCAATTTCAGATCAGATCAGTGGAAGAAGCATCCTACTCCTGCTCCCTCATCCCCCATCCCTGATTTGCACTGTTTGGAAGCAATGGCAGTGAAGTGGAAAATCCACCAAATCACACGACTGACTGCTCTCTCTCTCTGTTGACCCACGGGACGTATGCGCAATGTTAATCCACCTAATGATCGCAAAGATCGCAGAGTGAAAAACGAACAAACATTCTGCAATTTCAGGCAACAAACATTTACAAACAGGCGACAGCAATTGGATGTTTAATGAATTGCAATACTCAATCGAGTAGATCCCTTGCCGCAGCCCCTCTCTCCCTCCCTCCTGTTCCCGGAAAACAAGTAGCCGGGCAAAAAGGTAAATCGAAGCCGAGATTAATAGCGATAAGGCTATTGATTAGCATTTTAGCCACCGCCATTAGACGGAGGAGCGAAGCAACAAAATTGTAGAAGACCCACTCTAGATGTTATCAAGGTGATTGCAAGGTGAGGAGCAGTAGGGAGCAGGGTTAGTAAGGTGTTGCAAGCATGCGATGCAAAGATAATTCAAGCGGATGCCACAGACCAGACCAGACCCAAACCAAACCAGAACCGAGTCTCTAGCTGATCGAAAATTAAGCGCACGCCGGCAATTTGCATAAAAGCAGTTTAATGTTTAAATGTTTTATTGAATCGAGGCTCGATTACAAGCAGATCGAGAAGCGATGCGGATAGCGGGTAGGGGATATGCGGTCGATGCAGATGCGGATGCAGATGGAGCGGGAGCGGGAGAAAGGAGAAAAGAAGTCGAGCCTAATTTGCAATGCAAATCCCGTCGTTGGGATGCGGCTGACTAAACTATTTGATCCAAGTCCCCCGCTCGTACCATCCTCCGTCTCGGGCTGGAGCCGGAACCGAAGTCTATTTGTAAGGAGCCAAAGTAAACTGGTTTTTTAATTATGAAAAAAATCGATAACTTATCAGCCGAAGAAGCAGCAGCGGTAACATCAGCAAGAGGAGGTGGACAGGCTGGCAGGGCAGGAACGTGCGTGTCCAAAAGTGGGAAACGTTGCAGCTGCATCGCCGATGATGATCCCGACTGAATGCTGCTGATGCTGGCTGATCAGTTGTCAATCAAAGGCGACGCTGATGCTTCACACTCGACAATCGACAAGGCCCAATGGATGTCTATGTGGATCGGGCTGTGGATTTGGCTGGCTGGAGAGAGAGGGAGAGATGGGGAGACCAAAGACACTGGACTATCATCATTAGTCGCTGCCAGAGACATACAGACACGTTTGATACCAGCCGACGTGCCAGACAACAACGCATCGACGACGACGGCGACTGGCCAGGCTCTAATTGCAGAATGGCAGCTGCGATCTGGAAATGGCAGCCCGGCTACTTTATCCAACTCCAAAGCGACTGCAACTGTCAGCGGCACTCAATGGCCAGAGCCAATGTAAAGTGACGCCTGATCTTGAACTGGTTCTGTTCTCGACGCGGTGGTCCACGGCCATCACGGCTCTAGACATTCGCATATGCAAGTGACTCCCGTTCACGTTCCCGTTCCTGTCCCAATCCCGACCTGGCCTTTCCAATTCTCCAGTCGGTCCGTTTTGCGGGCCCTGCTGTGCCCAAATTGCGTATCGATTGATCGTGAATGATATGATATTTTCGGGGTCCAAAGGGGTCTACCACATGCCGTGTCATTACTCGTTCGGTGTCTCTGTCCAATTGGCGCAGGAAATCATAAATTAAATTCGATTGTTTGACAAGGCTCGTGAAATGTTTCCATTTTGAGCGGCCCGCAGCAGCACCAGCAGCAGGCAGCAGCGTTCCGCCGCTGTCCGTTCACCTAGGATCGGATAACATGAGCTCTACAATTAGTACTACATGCAACTGCAACTGCAACTGCATCTCCATCTCCTCCACAGACGCATAGACCAGAGTTCTTCACGATGCCCCCAAAACGGGCATAAGACACCATCCACATTCGTGTAATGTTGGGCAATGCTTCCCCCAAAATTGGCGTGCAGCGGAAAAATGAGACAACGTGTTCTGCCACAGAAACAGGGGCTCCAGCCACAGTTCCAGCTCCAACTCCAGCTCCATGCAACACGCACATAATTCATAAAACTTGCCAGATCCATTCCTGCAGCTGGCGGGGATCTGCAGCATCTGTACGAGTATCGCGGTCGGTGTCTGTATCGCTGGGAGATTCATATGCACGCACCTAGGCGGCTTCGCCTGAATTGCCTGCTTCTCCTGTTCTCAGTTCTCTGCATATGCCATCAACACCAGTCGCCAAATGGCGTTCGTGTGTGGCAAGTGACACACGAGGCGATGCAGCACAGCTGGAAGCGTCGTCGTCCACTCCACTCCAGCTCCAGCTCTGCCAGTCTATGCAGTGGTGTGCCAACAATGCCTACAAATGGTGGCTATCTATCAGCGTGCAGCACACAGTGGAGATGGCACCGTGTCACGTGTGTAGGAGAGCCAAGATCTGGAAATATACTCGTACATTCGAACAAAAGTAAATACCCCTGTCTCTGGCTATTATTTCTCTCAGGAGAAGAGCAGGGTGTGGGCACAGCAGACTCTTGATGACGATGTTAGGTTTATTGCTTGTCGTTTAGATTATTTTAGTTCGGTTTCGATTTCGTATTAGTATAGCTATACACTAGACACGTCCTTCGCTTCGATTCACACTGACTTTAAAACTTACTTTAATCACTAATAGCAGAATGGGGTTCTTATTGCTAAGTAGATTATTAGATCCACACGGGCCGCTGCTATGAGCGGATGCTACCCAGCAGCGGCGTGCTCTCGGCAGCCTTTGAGGTAATCACGTTATGGCGGGAGCTCGTTGAAGCCGGCGGGGGCGGGTGTGCACCACCTGGACCTGGTGGCCGCTGCCAATGGCTTGGCCCTGGCTGCTCGTCCTCCATCTCGACGATGCGCGACTGGCGCGCCTTGCGCTTTTGCTGGCTCAGCTCGTGCAGGTAGAGGGCGCTGAGGCACATGTCGGCCACGCCCACACTCATGGGATTCTTGGAGAGCCGCGGATCCACACCGTAGAGGCTGTATAGGAGCGTGTCTGCGGGTCCTTCGAGGCGGCCCTCAGCCCTGCTAAGCCGCAGGCGGCGCATGCTGTCCAGGGGTCCCACGCTGGCGGTCAGATTCTGCTGCAGCATCTGGCGGAAGTCGCTGCCGGCGACGGGAAAGCCTCCGGGGCGAAGGGACTGGGAGAGCTCCATCTGGGTGGGACTCAGCTGGGCGGCCAGAACCGAGTTGGCAATTGAGCAGTACTCCTCGCCAATGGTGCCGAATGAGATCAGGCTGTGGGTGAGCGGATTGTCCTGCAAGGCCGAGGTCTTGGCCTGTACCAGCTCCTCTATGGCGTGCTCCCGGATGCCCTTGATAAACAACGAAGCCTCCTTGGGCATCTGCCATTCAGGATTGTTGAGCGTGAAGCGAACCAGCGACATTTCCGTCTTTCCACCGACCAGACTCGTCTGCTGCGGTTTGGCGAACTCCTCCAGGTCGCTGTTCAGCTGCCAGTCTGGATTGCCGTGCTTGCGCACATCCATCTGGGCGAACGAGCAGACGTTGCCCACTCCACGCACCGAGACCGTAAAGGTTCTGAAGAACTTGACAATCTCCATGGCCTTGGGCCTGAACACGAAGATCAGGACGAATGGAGTCACGAACGGACTGAAGATCTCGCTGAGCAGGTAGCCCGCCTTGAACTGAAAGAAGTTGCTAAACTCATTGCGGACAAGTGCCGTGTGGGCATGCTGCTTCCACTCTGTAGGCAGGTAGTGGACGTGGGCGAGAATGGCAGTCATCAGCTGTTCGGGACACCATATCATGTTCTCATCGGGAATCATCGTTCGGGCGACGACGCCCACCACAGTGAGAACGGCTATGATGGTGAGGACGTGCTCCACTTGGAAGACGTGCTCCTCGTATATGCCAAAGGCCAGGATCAGCAGAAGAAGACCTCCGCTCACGAACAGCAGATTGCGGGCTATCACAGCGGCCAGCGGGGAGGAGAAGGAACTGAGGTAGCGGTCGGCATACTCGTAGGCGCGGTTCAGTCTCGCATCGAGCTCGTGATCCAGCTCGTTGAAGTGACGCAGATAGAGGCGTCCATAGTTGGACCAGGTGCGTAGGCCCAAGGCACTCGGCTCCTTCCGCAGGATATTTGCGTAGGAGAAACTGAAGTAGATGAGCTGCCAGATAAAGATCACAGGGGACAGGAGGAGATTGACCAGGGCCACACCCAGTATCAGCTTGGACAAGCGCTGGGCCAGCTCCGTTTGGTTACTTCTCACCGCGAACTCGTCCCTCAGCTGCCAATTGTTCTGGAAGGGCGATCCGGGACCGCGAAACAGAATAAAGTCGATGTTGAAGAGCATCCCCCGGCTGAGGGAGCATATCTCGCCCAGAAACGGCAGGTGGAAGCGCACGGGCAACAGCTGCTTGTTCATCAGGGCCACCAGATAGTTCTTGAACCGCAGCACGCGATGGTAGATATCCAGCTCCGTGAGGGACTCCTTGTCAATGCACATGTGCTGCTCGGCTTGAACCTTGCGAATGCGCTGCTGCACCTCGTGCCAGGTGATGTTGTCCAGGTCCGTGTCCTCGATGCCAAGGGCCGTGTTGTAGAACTTCTTGATATCCGCGTATTGCGTGATGTGATAGATCATCTTGAGCACCCGAAAGCCTAAGTAGATGGCAGCTATGAATATGACAAGGTAGGTGAACCAACTGAATTTGGCCACGCACTCCCCGGTGGTCATGCCCACATCGCTGAGTGTGGTTTTGGTGGGGTTGCTCCCCGGGGGCAGCGTGTCCCCGAAGAGCACGTCGTGCTTGATGCAGTACGTCACGAAGGTGAGCAGCCATACCACAAAGCCAAACTCCAGCACCTGGAACACCTCGTCTAGGACAATCACCTGAAAGCCGTGCTTCTGCTGGTAGTTGTACATGCGGGAGAAGAACGAGTCGAGGTCCTCGATGTGGTTCCATCGCGCCCTGCCCGTCTCTGGCACCATGTGTATCATGATGCCACTGTTGCGTGGAGTATCTTCGTTCTCTGGCTCATGGTCGTTGTGGGGGTCTAAATGCGCAGCAGCTGTAAATGATTTTGCGTCGTCCGCTTTTGTTGTTGCTTCGTCATGTTGCTCGGGCTCTCGAAACGGATTCGCCTCGGCCAAGGAGCTGTAGTTGATATTTGGGCTTGACATCATGCACCAAGCCCAAGGTCAATTGGCTAACTTATTTATATCACTTTGGTTGTCTATATATAGCTAAAATTGGAAAACTCTTTCCTCTTTGTTTGATTTTACTGAACCTTCCTAAACTAGTGCTGGCAAACCACTTATTTTCACATATGGTGGCAGCGCTATCAGCTGTTCAAACCGATGACAACAACCAATCGTCAACGATTCAATTGGCAACAGTTGGCAGCTCTATTGCGGCATCGTAAACAATTGTTTTGACACATTTTGTTTGAATATAAATAGCAGTAAATTCGCAAAAATGGGCAAACGACAGCACCAAAAGGATAAAATGCAAGTCCCAACGATTATAACCATACAATGCAATCAATATTACAACCCAATTCTGCAGGTACTTGACGTACACGGAGTGGAGCGAGTTGTACGGCGGAAAGAAAACCGAATCCGCGGAGAACAACCATGTGAAGTTCAAGCGGTTGCCCTACGAGCACTGCTCCATTACCATGGCTCCCTACGAGATGCCCTACTGCGACCTCAATGGCAATGTTTTCGAGTATGAAGCAATCTTGAAGTTTTTGAAAACCTTTAAGATCAATCCTATAACAGGCCAGAAAATGGATTCAAAGTCATTGGTGAAGCTGAACTTTTACAAGAATGCTACCGATGATTACCACTGTCCCGCTCTGTTTAAGCCCTTCACCAAGAACTCGCACATTGTCGCCGTGGCTACAACGGGCAATGTCTACTGCTGGGAGGCCATTGATCAGCTGAATATTAAAACCAAAAACTGGAAGGACTTGGTGGATGACACACCGTTCCAGCGCAAGGATATTATTACCATACAAGATCCGCAGAAGCTAGAGAAGTTCGATATATCCACCTTCCACCACATTCGTAAAAACTTGCGAGTGCTTACAGACGAGGAGCTCCTGGAGCGCAAAGATCCGGCCAGTGGGCGCATTAAGACCATGAATCTGGAAACGAAAGAGACCTTGGCACAGCTGCAAAGGGACTACCAGCCTGCTGAAGAGGCACCTTCCACTTCCAAGCGAGCAGCAGACAAATTCAATGCGGCTCATTATTCCACTGGAGCGGTGTCTGCCAGTTTCACATCCACAGCCATGATGCCTGTCTCCCAGATTGAGGCGGCTATCATTGACGATGATTTGGTGAAATATGAGCGGGTCAAGCAGAAGGGCTATGTGCGTTTAAACACCAACTTTGGCCCATTAAACATTGAGCTCTACTGCGATCAGATACCACGCGCCTGCGACAACTTTATCAAACATTGCGCCGATGGTTACTTCAACAATGTATTGTTCCATCGATCCATTCGGAACTTTATCGTAGGTACACGCCAGGAGAAGTATCAAATCAAATAATAACCAAATGTGTCCACCAGGTTCAAGGTGGCGACCCCACAGGCACCGGTTCGGGAGGTGAATCTATCTGGGGCAAAAAGTTCGACGATGAATTCAAGCCGAATCTGACGCACACGGGACGGGGTGTTCTTTCCATGGCAAATTCAGGACCCAACACAAATGGTTCCCAGTTGTAAGTAGTTCAATCAATTGTATACGACTCCTTGTTCATTGTATTGCCACTTGCAGCTTCATCACCTATCGATCCTGCAAACATCTCGACGGCAAACACACCATCTTTGGCAAGGTGGTTGGCGGCCTTGACACACTCCAAAAAATAGAAAACATCGAGGTGGACAACAAAGATCGACCAATCGAGGATATCATAATTGAAAATGCCCAAGTCTTTGTTAATCCCTTTGCTGATGCCGCGGAACAGCTGGCCAAGGAGCGAGAGAATGAAGCGGCCAGCATACAGGAGACGGCCGAAAAGGCAGAACAGCAGAAACGCCTCAATGAGCCACTCAAGGTCTACAGGGAAGGCGTGGGCAAGTACCTAAAAATGAATGCCGCGCCCAAGAAACCAGAGTCCCCGCTCCTGGCAGCACAAGCAGCCAAAAGGAAGAAGCTTGCAGGCGGTTTTGGTGATTTCTCTAGCTGGTAGTTGTTCCACTTACCATTTATCACAAATATATCAACCAAGAACGTTATGTTTTAGTATAAAAATGAATTTTGGCTTTTTATTTATCGTTGGATTCTTCTGTACGCTCCCTCTCTTGCCATCTCGTCTTCATCTCCTGCATTTTTCCTTGCCGTCGTCGCCGCTCCGTGGACTTTCTCTGCTCCAGTACTTTGATCTGTGCGGCAATCGAGTTTTCTCCATTAAAATGGGCATCAAGCTTGTCTAGTAGAAGTTTTCGTGCCTCTACGCGATTTTTGGAGGCCAGTCGATGTGTGTGACACTTTATGGTGATGTTGGTGGGCAGATGACGCAGGAATACGCAGTTGGATGTCTTGTTTACCGCCTGACCCCCAGGTCCACTGCCGCGCATGAAGGTCTCTTCGATTTCCGACTCTTGCAGTTTTGGATAGCGCGAGTAATCCAAGTTAGCGGTTGACTTCCAGCGGACAACTAGCGGAGGGAGAGCCAACCGTGAAACCAAGGCCCGTATCATCCCTACAGTATGCGTCCGTTCTTCAGCAATGTCTCTCCTCGCTGCGCAAGGTAAAAGTTAGTTATGAAACACATAAGCAGACTCCTCCACGTACCCTGAAGTTGAACTCGATTTCCGAGGGACTGGTCAACTGGCGACTGTCGCGGAACTCGTGTCGCACGCGACCCAAAAAGTAGTTCTTGTCCGTCAACTTCAGATGATTGCCGTATCGGATAAGGTGTTTATAAAGCCGGAGAATCTGCTGCCGAGATGGTTGAAACATTTTAGGGTCTTTACGAACATGTGTGATAATGCCAATACAGCACAGGTTGGCAGCACCACCGGCAAACAGCTGGTCGTTGAGCGAAACTGATATCAAAAGGAAATAAAAAAAAAAACAAAATGTACGCATCGGTTTATATATTATAATAATTGATTGTGTTTATATCAAATAATTAGATATTGTGCATCGCCTCATCGATTCGAACATTGTACGTTCGACTTAACTCAAACATTTCCTTTAGTTGATGCGCGATTTCCCGGTCCACTATCTCGCCGCCTGATTTCATGGTGCTCTCAATGATTTCCTCGTCCGTAACTTGACAGTTGATCATTTCCTCCGAGGACAAGACTGACGGCTCGACGAGTGAGAAGAGAAAGTAGGCCGTGATGGACACACTGTAAGGAAGGAAGCGGATGTACTCCTTCAGAAGCTCCGTCCGACTATAAAAAAAACAGAAACAGTAATGCACTCAACTTCTTAGATGCCATTTAAATACCCACTTCAAGAATTCCGGCACCTCGTCCTTCGCGTGCTTCCTGTAGCTGTCGTAGAGAGCCGAGCAGTAGTCGTCGAAAATGCTATCGAAATGGGTGTAACGCACATCCGCATAGACAGAAATGGCCAGGAAGACGGACAGATCGATCATGGGGGAGGACACACGCAGCGTCTGGTAGTCGAACATCATGATTTCCTGTGGCTCCTCCTTGCCATCGTACTTGTAGGCAACATTGTTCCGCACATAATCGCCGTGACAGAGAGTTGCCAACGGCTCCCTGGGCGCCACCCGCTGTCTTCCAAATTTTGTGTAATCGGATATCAAGAGACCGAAATTCTGCACAAAATCCTCACCCACTTGTGGCTGGTAAGTGGCCACAGCCTGGGCAGCACGCTTCACACTAGTTTTCAGCTTCAACAGGAAGTCGGGGTGCATAATATCATTGGAAAATCGAGATTCCCTCAGGTTTTTGGTCATATTTTCAAACTGATCTGGATTCTTGTGCTTGATGGCATAGGCAAAGCCATGGAACTTGCCCAAGTACTTCACTGCGACGCGAACATGATCCAGGCTAAGGCCCACCCGGTCTTTGGTAATGCTCCAGCCGTCCTCTGCAAAATCACTGAGAATGACCATCGCCGAAAGCGGATTCAGCTCACTGTAGTAATACTTGGGGGCTGCGAATTTTCCTCCGGTCACTTTTTCCATTTGGGGTAGAATTTTCGTATAGAAATCAATCTCATTGCCGAAGAGATAACTAAACTGAATGTCCTTGTACATCTCTGGTTGAATCCTCGGAGTTTTCTATAAAAAAACAAAAGATTCATTGCCCCTGCTCATGACTTGGCTTATCTGTGTTTTTGTTTAATTAACACTAATATCCATATTATATATGAATATATGAGTATTCGCATTCCCATATTATGCAAGTAATCTTTTCCCCAGGCTGTAACCTGTTATCGTGATTTATAAACACAGAGATACGGTCTACTGCTCTCTCAATTGTTAGCTACATCGTTGCTACGATATGACGAAATTAAAGTTACGATATACCTTAACGACCATTTTCCGCTCAAACTGCTTGCCGTCGTATTCAAAGCGGATGGTTGTCCGATAGCAGAGTGTCAGCATGAAGGCCTCTTTGGGACCAATTACATCGACATCGATGTCCCCCACCCGGAATGTGTCCGCCTTCGACGCGCTGTAGGTATCCAGCAGTCTACCGCTCTCCAGAATCTTTGGCAGAATGGTAGTCCGCAGCCAGTGGGTTTCCGTCTCGATCAGCGACATGCTTGTTTCTAGTATACAGAATGGAACCGAACGGCTTCGAGTTCAGCGAGTAACTGAACGATCGTATGCTGTGGCAATGTGTTCGTACTCTTTTAAGTATATCGTGCTCGTCAGCTCGGAGATAAAATGAAACGATGGAAAAAAGGTGTTCCGGCCACGGAAATAATGTGAATGTACATACTATATCGGGTAAAGATATTAACAATTCATTGTGTTTAATTCAAGTAATTAGATCTTCGGCAACGCATTAACATCGATGCCATCCTCAATTTGAACATTGTATTTTCGACTCAACTCAAACATTTCTTTCAGTTGATGTGCAACTTCCTTATCAACTACCTCGCCGCCTTTTTTCATGGTGCGCTCAATGACTTCCTCGTCCGAAACCTGAACGTTGAACATTTCCGCCGGCGACAGTCCCATCGGTTCGACGAGCTCAAAGAGGAAGCTGGCCGTGATGGACACACTGTAGGGCAAGAAGCGAATGTACTCCTTCACAAGCTCCGTACGGCTGAAGAAAACCAACCAGAAACATTAAAATAACCATTTTGTTAGATGCCATTTGGATACCCACTTCATGAATTCTGGCACCTCATCCTTCGCGTGCTTCCTATAGCTTTCGTAGAGAGCCGAGCAGTAGTCGTCGAAAATGCTATCGAAATGGGTGTAGCGCACTTCCGCATAGACAGAAATTGCCAGGAAGACGGACAGATCGATCATGGGGGAGGACACACGCAGCGTCTGGTAGTCGAACATCATAATTTCCTGTGGCTCCTCCTTGCCATCGTACTTGTAGGCCACATTGTTCCGCACATAATCGCCGTGACAGAGAGTTGCCAACGGCTCCCTGGGCGCCACTCGTTGGCGTCCATATTGGATGTAATCCGATATTAAGAAGCCGAACAATTTCACAAAATCTTTATCCACTTGGGGCTGATAGGTGGACACAGCCTGAACAGCGCGCTTAACGCTTGTCTGCAGCGTCACCTTGTATTGGGGGTGCATGGTGTCATTGGCATATCGGGATTCCTTGAGGTTTCTGGTCAGTTTTTCGAAGTTCTCCAGATTCTTGTGCTTGATGGCGTATGTAAAGCCGTGGAACTTTCCCAAATACTTCACTGCAATCCGGACATGCTCCAGGCTGAGGCCCACCCTATCCTTGGTTACCCTCCAGCTATCCTCAGCAAAGTCACTGAGAATGACGATTGCCGACAGCGGATTCAGCTCACTGTAATAATACTTGGGTGCCGCAAACTTTCCCTCCGCCACCTTTTGTATCTGTGGCAGGATTTTCGTATAGAAATCGATCTCATTGGCGAAAAGATCTCCAAACTGTACTGCTTCGTACACATCTGGTGGAACCATAGGCGTTTTCTACAACAAAATAAACAAGCTGTCATGATAGTTGGTTTTCTGGTATTTCGTTAATCATTAGTATTTTCGATTAACCGATCGTTTAACAGTAGATCTATGGATCAATAACCCGCTGATAACATATCAATACTTGTGGGGGTTGGGAAATAGTGTTTACATTTGAATGGAACACCATAATCTTATCTATGGGAATTTTTGCCTACCTATTTCACCATCCCACCGAAAAATTCAGTTCCAACTCCGTATCACTTGGTTTATCAGTGTTTTGGTTTAAATAGCAAAGACATAAATGTCTCCCATAATGGTTTTAATCTGCTCTTCCAGACTTGAACCGGTTATGTGGCGTTAAAACAGAAATACGGTCTACAGCTCACTCAATGCTCATCTGTTCGTGCCTACGATATGACGACATTTAATAGTTACCTTTACGACCATTTTCCGCTCAAACGGCTCGCCGTCGTACTCAAAGCGGATGGTTGTCCGATAGCAGAGTGTCAGCATGAAGGCCTCTTTGGGACCAATTACATCGACATCGATGTCCCCCACCCGGAATGTGTCCGCCTTCGACGCGCTGTAGGTATCCAGCAGTCTACCGCTCTCCAGAATCTTTGGCAGAATGGTAGTGCGCAGCCATTGGGACTCCGTCTCGATCAGCGACATGTTGGGTTCTAGTATACAGAATAGATCCGATCGGCGTCGAGTTCAGTGAATAACTGAACGATCGTACGCCGTATGCCGTGAATTTGTAAGCTTCGGTCAACATCGTGCTCTCTGAGATAAGACGAAGCTGATTGAACGAAAATAAATCGGTGCCGCTCTGAAACAGGCAAGAGTGAAATAGTTGATAGCTCGTAGAGAGAGAATCCAACTCAGAGCACAATTCTTTTATCTTCTAAATTCTAAATTTGAATATGGGAACTTCAGAAAAAATTCAAAGCAAATGGTTCAATCTTGCCCTGACCGGGACGTTGTCTAGCAACAACACCTTTGTGAGAAGGTATTCAGAACAATCGGAACTCGGCGGTGTTCTCCTTGGCAAGAGAAAAGTTCCGGCCAGTCGAATCAAGTCGAAAGAAAACCGGCCAAATGAAGCGGCCACGAACAGCAGTCGAAAAAGCAGTGGGACCAGCAGTCGAAGAAAAAAGGAGAGGAGCATTAACTCCGAAATTCTCGACAGTAGAATCGAATGCCAGAGTGAAAAGTGCGACCAGAAGAACGTACTAGACTCTCCCCGTATGCGGGAGTTCTTTAAAGAAGTACAACAGCGGGAACTCAAGCAATACTACCTCCAGATGAGGGCCTCCCAAAGGATGAGAATTGCCCCGAACCCCTTGTGTCCGGACTGGGGACTGGCAAAGCGAACGGAGAGGGATATTGCGCATAATGTATACTGCAGGGGACCACAGAGATTGTGTTCAAGGCAGGGGAGATGGGCTGGCGATGGAGAGAGCTCTTCCGGAGCACATTCAATTGAACCTTGTATATGTCGGAAGTAGCTCCCTTGAAATCCCCTATCCAGCTCTCCGTGCCTTTGCTGTCAGCGTCCGTTTCAGTTTTCGTTCATTCGGGCTCAGTCGGCACACAATCAAAATCCCCCGTACAGGAAACCCCGCTTTCCGCTTTTCCCGCACGGATTCCACAACTTCCACTGGCCCTAAGATGTACTCCCTTCCAAAACAAGTGTCACAGGGGACTCAGACCATACCGCAGCCGGCCCCGAAGCCCATATGCGTACCGCTGCTGATGGTCGACGAGGATGGAAAGAAACGCTACTGCTACCATGGCGGCAAGTGCCGATGCGAGACTTGTGAGAAGATGCGCGAGCAGCAGGCGGATGAACTTGACGCGCAGCTACTCGCCGTCCTTCCACATAGTCGCTTGAAGCTGGAGCCGGCGTTGCATCAGGTGAGGCCGAAGCAGTACCGCTTGGAGGCCATTTACGCCAAGCCCGAGTTGGCCGATTATCTGAAGAAGGAGCACGAGGAGCTGCGCAAAAAGTATAGGACCTACTATCTGCCCGATAAGTACTACGAGATGAATGCATGGAGGATCCCCGGTCCGCAGCACAAGCAGACCCAGACGGATGTCCGGATCGGCAACTATGGCATCGACGGTTGTCCGTGCGTCGACAAATCTCTCTGCTGGGACATATAGTCTTTGGGTTCGTTGAATTGTGGGAGGAAAGGGGAGGATTGATCTGTGGAACCAGGGGAACAATAAAGAGTGCAGATTGAGAAGCGGAATACTTGCGTTGTCTTATCTGGCTCTTCTTATCAAGGAACGTCTGATCTGGGTCGCCGCAGGAGGCCTTGGAAGAGATATCAATATTTGGATCGGGCCGTAGTCATCAGAAAAATTAGTATAGTTATCCAATACCGCTCGGTTCTATAGAATGCTGCGCCGCCTTAGAGACACCCGGATCCTGTCCGTTGCCCAGCTTAATCGCTGCTGCCGCTACCTGGCTGATGCTCCTGCAAAGCCCTCGGATCCATATGTCGTCACCACGGGGCTCAGTGCCAACGTGGCAAAGGGGCAGATGCGTTCCTTGCCGGTGAGCGGGCTGCCCCCGTCCAAGTATGGGGGCATCACCCATGTCTCTCTGCTCACCGGCAGCACGATCATTGGCCAGCAGGGGGCCAAGTTTGTGACAGCCTTGCTACACAGCACGCGGGTGCCAGTGGAGCTGCAGCGCATTGCCTCCGACCAGGAGGAGGAGTACTTCAATTCGGTGCTACGTAACCATGCCGCGGTCCATGTAGACATCCTATGCGATAAAGAGGCGAAGAAGAAGTCCCTCAAGATCTGCAACGACCTGGACCTGTACGTGTTCATGACGCGCCTGCGCAGCTTCCCCGGCTTCAAGTGCCGCTTTCCCGACGTGGACATCCAGGTGATAGCCCAGAACAACATTGGCAACTACTCGGAGCTCGAGTACGCCCCCGTCAAGGGTGTGGTGGAGGCCCTGCGCGTCGTCACCCATGAGAACGTAACAAAGTATCTGCGGCACGCCTTCGAGGCTGCGATCCGCGCCGGCCGCTGTCGTGTCACCCTCATCCACAAGGCCAACGAGTGGCCGGTGACCGATGGGGCGATGGTGGAAATTGCAGAGAAGATGCACGCGGAGGACTACTGCTCCATCAAATTGGAGCTGATGGAGCTGGACGACTGCGTGAACCGGCTAATCACCGATCCCGCCTACTTCGACACCATCTTCACCAACGATCGCTACGCCACCTTCCTGGCTACCATCTGCAGCGGTGTTGCCGGAGGCGCAAATCTCTTCAGCGCCATCGAATTGGGGGACAGTCATGCTGTGTTCAAGCCACTCCAGACCAAGCTCTCGCTGACCAACTACTCCCTCCTCAGTCCCTACGGCATTGTGTCCACCTGTGTGGACTTACTGAACCATGTTGGCCAAGAAAGCTGCGCCAAGTCCCTATGGAAGGGGATGCTCCGCACCATGACCGATGGCATTAAGACTGTCGAATTCGACGGACCAGACACCGGTGAATATGTGATCTGCAATATCATGAACAAGTTGCGGTGCAGTGCTTTGGGAGAGAATGTCGAGAAAAAGTGAATACCTTGTTAAATATATTCACTAAAATTTAATTAATTATGCAACAACGACTTTTAACGAGATCATTTTTAAATGGGAGCCTAGGGGTCTGGAGCATCTTTGGGTGTAGGGCAATCTTTGATTCGTAGAAATGGAAGACATTATAAGATGAGAGCCGATTCATCAGACTTTTCCTATAAGAGAACGGTGGTAGAAGAGGCTATATCATATTTGTGTACACTACCTACTTCTCTTTGGTACGTGAGCGATTAAAGATTGTCGCGCTTCATTGTACTCTTAGACTGGAGAAACCGCATTGATTAAATTATTGGTAGAAAAGGTTATATTTTGATGGATATTACCTGCTCCTCTTCGGTGCGCAGAGCTACCTCCTGTATGTTAATTTTGCCGTTGTTCGTGTACGTCACCAATTCCACGAACTTCCTGAAGTGGACCGTTCTGTTGGTATTGAACGTCTTAGCCGCAAGCTTGTTTCTCTTCTTCTTGTTCGGATATCTCATGTAGTCGTAGATAATCGGCTCATCAATGTTGCCATCATTATCGGTTGGGCCTGCGATTGCGGGTGCCTCTGCCATAGCGTTGTGCACTCGCAATTCAGTTTCGTTTGGGAAATCTTCAATTTTATCCATACTTCTAAGACATTTTTGTTGCCCAGAAATAAAAACAAAAAAAAAAAACCAGAAGAGCAATGCTTCAATGATAAATAAAGAATCAAAATACAAATTTCATGTGCTCACATTTCCCTTCCCTTGCTTTAAGCAGAGAAATAAAACTACTATACTTTTATTCTCATGTAGAAGGGGCTCTAAGTTTAGCGTATTTTAAGAGTCCAGGACCAAAACCCACCCACAAACCTACATATGTACTGCATGGGAAAACGACCGCGTCAAACAAATCATTTCCAACCCCTCGCAAGAGGTTGCCCATTCTTAAATTGTTGACTAATTACCAGGACACGAAAACAGATCATAATTATAATAATTTATTGGTGCTCTCTGGAACATTTACAAAGTTATGCTTTTTCTATTGAACCATATGTACATATATGTTTATCCTATACGAAAAGGTTTCACCTAGAACATTTACACAGACATTTATGCTTATTCCTATGGATATTGCATCGCTAATTGAACTTTCACACACACATGAAGAAGAGCAAGTCATTCACACTATCGAATTGGCAGTAGGCTCCACATCTATGTAGTCATGCTGCCATCCGTTGGGTCAAGGCTCTGCCATCTCGATGGCCTTGGTGTTGTTCCACTTGGACTTGATCGCGTTGCATATCATCATGCAGGTGAAGAGAGACAGCTCCAGGACACGACACAGGACGAAGAAAGTTATCTCCATTAGATCGTCAGTGGCTCCCAAATAAACACACATTTTGCGATTACTTTTCTGTGACACTTTTTAAGGCAAAGATTTTGTGCAGCTTGCAGTTTTTGTCGGCTCGCCTGTTAAGGTACACAAATGTTTGTGGAAGCTGAAAGATTTCGGGAATGGCAACACTCTGCAGGTTGGGGTCCTGTTATATCCTGCCCTGTTGCTGTATCAGCGAGCACACGAAGGACCTCGTCGGCTCGGAGTGCGAGAGCGAAAGCCAAGTGTACCGATACGAGCATAGGGTGAGGCGATTGCAGGCGTTCTCACGTTACTATGCAAGACGCTGTAGTACTACCATCTGTTGGTTTCACCACTAATTAATTATGAGTCAATCAAGTTACACTGCTTATCAGTGTCGGTGATATTCGAAGCATATACATACTTGCCACATAAGCTAACGCACGTTAAGAGCGAGCGAGAGTGTCAAGAAAAGAATGCCTCACCTTATATAGATACACCCTGAGCCAAACTTTAATAGAGAGGGAGAGATAGCGTGGGTGTGGGTGTGGGAAACGGGGAATGGGGACGGTACATGCGCAAACATGTTCCGCGTACATGCAGTTCTGCGGGGAAGAGCGCCCCAGCTTCAGCGGCTATCTATCTCTGTTGCACTTAACACAGCAGTGCTGCAAATGCATTCCAAAGGTAAAATGGGATATTTCAGGGATACATATGTACATATACACTGTATGTAGGGATATTTATCTGATAGATATTTAATGGGATGTTCAATCCAAGAGCTGGCGAGACAACAAATGTCGTGTCTCAACTGGATTCATTGTTTGCTTCAAGGACTGCTACTGGCACTAGTATTGCCGAGCGTTGACCATATGGCTGTGGCTGTGGCCTGGAATTGGGTTCTGGGCTCAGTGCAACATATGGTCACGAGACACGAGCCAGAATGCAGTTCCAGAAGCGAGTTAATTGATGGCCCAGGCCAGCCAGTAGCTCATCCTCGTCGAAGTTCCCCTCTGCCCACCTCCCTGGCTGGTGTGCTGTTGAGCGTGAAAGTCACAAATTACAAAAAAAAAAAAAAAAAGAAGAGAGAGGAAGATCACATGCCATGATAGCGCCAATTTGGCAAGCTATGACGCGTGCCAGAGCAGTGCAGCGCAAAGAGTGAATGAAAGGTCGAAGAAGAACAAAGTGTAGGCGTGCGCAAGGGAGCGAAAGAGCGAGGGAGAGCGTTCGTATTTCTAACCCCTAACTGGCACCGACAGCGACGTCGACGTCGACAGAGAGTAGCCGCCCCTGCCGACGATCCTTGGGATATGGTAATGGCTTTGAGGATCCTGCCAGAGGGGCAAGGGGTCATTTGCGGGCCATTTACACAAACTTGGTCAACGCAGCGGTAAAAATATTTGTAAAGCCATCCCGTCCCATCCCTTTCGGTGGTTGCCCGATCGGAGGGCTCGTGCTGTTCAGTGCAGCAGCAGCAGCAGTCGCGCGGCAGTTGCGGTGGAACTTTCGAGCCGTGCAGAACCCCGAGTCATGAGCTACTACTACTCGTCCGAGGAGGACAACAGCAGCTCCCAGTACTTGGGCAGCCCTAACTACAACCTGACGCCGATGGCATGCTCCACGCAGGAGTACAGCCATACCGCCTACCTCTCTCCCGACTGGCACTTTCTGGATGTAGCAGGCGGAGCTAGCCTGGAGCTGCCTCCGGCCACCCACTCCGTTGACCTTGAGATGCGCACAGGGGCGGGCATGGACCAGCTCAAGAGGCGCAAGAGCGAGGGCTCCAGGAGATCAGAGGGCGAGTGCCAAGCAGCCGGCCAAGAGACGGTCGTTCTCAGTCCCACGGTGCAAAAGCGACGACGCCAGGCGGCCAATGCCCGGGAAAGAAAGCGCATGAATGGCCTAAACGAGGCCTTCGACCGCTTGCGGGAAGTGGTCCCAGCCCCGTCCATTGATCAGAAGCTGTCCAAGTTCGAGACCCTCCAGATGGCCCAATCCTACATTCTGGCCCTGTGCGACCTCCTCAACAACGGCGACGTGGATGTGGATGCGGCCGCTTACAGCCTATTTGGGGGAGGAAATGGAAGCGACAGCGAATCCAGCTTCCACTTGAGCCACGGTTAAGCTATACTCGATCTTAGATTTAAGCTTTTGTGATTCTTCTCTAACTCTAAATTTAGTATAAATAAAGAAAAATGAAACCAGTGAGATGCTTGCGAAATCAATTGGCCAGCGGATCGTTGGTTACGCCTCAATGGATCCGAAAATGCTCATAAATTAATTATTGAAAAGTTCATTGATAGGAAAACAATGAGTGCCAGTCCCCGTCCACGTCCCCGTCCCCGTTCCACATCGGAGTTCCCCGCCAACGCGCTTTGCAGTGGAGCGTGACACCCTCGGATCACGACTCCCGGCCAGGGATCTCATTGAATAAAAGGCAGCTGAGTCCTGCGGCTTCGGTTTGTTGCTGTTCTTTACTATGATACTCTGGTACATTGGTTGGGGCAGAGAACTATGTGTGAAGAAATATCAGCTATGGTATGGCTGGATGGCTACGCCATAGAGTTCAACCTCTGGATGGCTCTGTTTCAGATCACATCGGCCTCGGGCTCACATGCGGCTCGCTGTGCTGAACTTTGATAAGCTGCATCTGCACATCATCCAGGCAGAGGGAGTTCTTGGAGGGTCGAAAGCCAAGGACGGGCGGATGCAGTACGATTACCTCTTGATTGGAACTCGAACCCGGATTTTTGGAGAGCAGTACGGTGCGGTTCTCTGCCAATATTGAACTTGTCTCATGGATCGGTCGAAGGATGGGCGTGCGATTATAAGCCATTGCTGTCATCGGTTTGGGCTTAGGCTTGCATTGCATCTTAGGAGGAGAATTCACGTTTTTCTTGCTGGTGCAGTATTTATGGTTCTTTTGGATCAGTTCTACTACTGGCTTGCGCCCTATCGACATTTTAATGTGCTGGTTGATAATGCTCATGGTGGTCTCTGCGGCGACTGGTGGCACCATATAGGAGCCAAGGACAGAGAGACCCTCCGTTTTCCTTGAAGACGACTGGTGAGCGGGCTTTGGACTGGCCCAGGACAAAGTATCGAAGCCAGAGCACTGCCGCGGGGTGCAGGGCTTCCTCTTCGCAAGCTCTTGTCCTGGGCAAGTCCTGTTGACACTCATCCTACGGTACTTAGCTTCGGGCACTATTATCAGATACTGATTCTCTTCATCTTCATCCTGTAATTGGCAAATGTAGTATGAAGCCCTGTTTAAATCAAAGGGGCAGCCGCTACTGGTGCCACCATCATAGTCGGCGTTTTTCATGGATCTCTTACCGCTGATTTGACGATTGTGTTTGCTACTTCTCGAAGAAATGGGCTTCTTTGCCATCTCTTCCGTGTTGGAGCTACGCCTGAGCCTAGACTTTGGGGTCGCACTGGATCGACCTGCAGTGGACTGGCTCCGTGGCGTTGCCTTGGCGATCTGCTGAGTACGAACCTTCTTCTTGGCGGACGTCTCCTCCTCCGCTTTCTCATCTGTTGGCTTCTCCTCTTCGTCCTCGCAAAAGCATTCGCACTCACATAAACTGGTAGAATCCTCCAAATCATCCATACTTTCTGTACCGTTCTCTTTTTTCTTTATATCTAAACGCATATTCCTACCTTTTTCATTCACTTCTTCAACGTCTTCAGTATTTCTACTGTTCCCAGATTTGCTTCTTATGTTTTTCCCATTTGGAGACTCGACCCCAATCTGGCAATCACAGTACTCACTGTCACTGTTATCCTTTTCATCTTCTTTTCCAGTCCTCGTTGGGACCGCTGTAACGTTCTTTTTAATTGAAGTTCGTGTGGACTCTTTCGTACTGTGTGGAATATTCCTCCCATTAGCCTTCTTCGAATAGTTATCGGGCTGCCGGTAAGAATTATCAGCATCATCGCATTCACACTTCTGTTCGTTAACATAATTTTTAAAAGTATTGTTCTTTTTGGGTGTGGTTTTCTTCGGTTCTTCATTATTGTTTCGACTTCCCTTCGTATTATCCGTCTGTGCTTTAGTATCCTTCTCATCATCCTTTCTACTGTTTTTATTCCTGTTTCTCTTTGATGCGGCGATCTCCACATTCTCATCACAACGGCAATCATCGACTTCCTTTGGTTCCATTGGCTTTTCATTTCCGACATTCATTTTCTGTGAAGTAGGTGCCAATTTTCCCTTACGGTCGTTCTGACTGTTTCTCTTTGGTGGGGCAGTCCCGGGCACACTGGGTTCTTTCCAACGACTACTTCTGGTTGGTTCCTCCTGGCGGATATTTCTCTTTGCTGGCGTTTTTTCTGGAACCATGGACTCATCATCGCAGAGGCAATCATCGACTTCGTATCGATCCGTTGATGTCGGTCTTGATTTGGTCTGCCGGTCATATGGGCTATTTCTCTTCGATGAGGTATTCTCTGGAAAATTTTGATTTGGGATTTCCTCAAATCTTTGGCCTTGTGGTAGATTCTTCGCAGGCTTCTCTCCCTGATACGATCTCCGCTGGGGATATTGTCTTTTCGTTTGCTCCTGTTGCCGGTCATCTCGGTTGTTTCTTTTCGAAGACGGAATCCCCAAAACATCCTGCCGGCTATTTCTTTTTGTTGAGGTAATTTCTTGGGGACCCATATGGTCATCCTCGCAGAGGCAATCATCGACCTCGTATAGATCCGATGACTCTTCTTGGCTTTTATCCATTTTCTTTGATGTCGGTCTAGATTTGGGCTGCCGGTCATCTGGGCTATTTCTCTTCGATGAGGTATTCTCTGGAAAATTTGGTTTCACAAATGGGCACAAGTTATTGTTGCAAGGGATTTCCTCAAATGCTTGGCCTTGTGGTAGATTCTTTGCAGGTTCCTCTCCCTGATACGATCTCCGCTGGGGATACCGTCTTGGCCTTTGCTCTTGTTGCCAGTCATCTTGGTTGTTTCTTTTTGAAGATTGAATCCTTGGAGCTCTCAGATCATCCGTATGATCGTCTCGCCAGTTTCTCTTCGATGAAGCAATCACTGGAACTATGGGCTCTTCTCGATTACTACTTTTTTTTGAAGAGTCATTCTCTGAAACGCTGGCCTTTTCCAGACGGATATTTCTCTTTGCTGAAGTTTTCTTTGGAAACAGGGACTCATCCTCGCAGCGACAATCATCGCTTTCGTTTAGATCCGTTGACTTTTCTTGGCTGTCATACATTTTCTTTGATGTCGTTATTGATTTGGGCGGCCGATTCTCTTGGCTATTTCTCTTCGATGAGGTAGTATCTGGAACACTTGGTTCTTCCCGACGACTACTTCTCTTTGGCGAGGTAACCTCTGGAACTCTTGGCTCTTCCTGGCGGTCATCTCGGCTGTTTCTTTTTGTTGAGGCTATCACTGGATCCCTAGAATCTTCCAGGCGGATATTTCTCTTTGCTGAAGTTTTCTCTGGAACCATGGAATCATCCTCGCGGAGATAATCATCGATTTCGTTTAGATCCGTTGACTCTTCTTGGCTGCTATCCATTTTCTTTGAAGTCGGATTTGATTTGGGCGGCTGGTTCTCTTGGTTATTTCTCTTCGATGAGGTATTATCTGGAACACTTGGTTCTTCCCGACGACTACCTTTCTCTGAAGGGGCAACCTCTGGAACACTTGGTTCTTCCTGGCGGTCATCTCGGCTGTTTCTTTTTGGTGGGGCTGTCACTGGACCCCTTGATTCTTCCAAGCGGATATTTCTCTTTTCCGAAGTTTTCTCTGTAATCATGGACTCATCCTCGCAAAGACAATCATCGATTTCGTTTAGATCCGTTGACTCTTCTTGGCTGCTATCCATTTTCTTTGAAGTCGGGTTTGATTTGGGCTGCCGGTTCTCTTGGCTATTTCTCTTCGATGAGGTAGTATCTGGAACACTTAGTTCTTCCCGACGACTACCTTTCTCTGAAGAGACAACCTCTGAAACACTTGGTTCTTCCTGGCGGTCATCTCGGCTGTTTCTTTTTGTTGAGGCTGTCACTGGACCCCTTGATTCTTCCAAGCGGATATTTTTCTTATCCGAAGTTTTCTCTGGAACCATGGAATCATCCTCGCGCAGATAATCATCGCCCTCGTATAGATCCGTTGACTCTTCCTGTCTGCTATCCACTTTCTTAGAAATCGGGTTTGATTTGGGCTGCCGGTTCTCTTGGCTATTTCTCTTCGATGAGGTAGTATCTGGAACACTTAGTTCTTCCCGACGACTACCTTTCTCTGAAGAGACAACGTCTGAAACACTTGGTTCTTCCTGGCGGTCATCTCGGCTGTTTCTTTTTGTTGAGGCTGTCACTGGACCCCTTGATTCTTCCAAGCGGATATTTTTCTTATCTGAAGTTTTCTCTGGAACCATGGAATCATCCTCGCGCAGATAATCATCGCCCTCGTATAGATCCGTTGACTCTTCCTGTCTGCTATCCATTTTCTTTGAAGTCGGGTTTGATTTGAGCGGCCGGTCATCTTGGCTATTTCTCTTCGATGAGGTATTCTCTGGAAAATTTGGGTTTACAAATGGGCACAAATTATTGTTGCAAGGGATTTCCTGAAATCTTTGGCCTTGTGGTCGATTCTTTGCAGTCTCCTCCCGCTGATACGATTTCCGCTGGGGATACTGCTTTGGCCTTTGCTCTTGATGCCGGTCATCCCGGTTGTTTCTCTCTGAAGACGGAATCCCTAGATCATCCTGCCGGCTTTTTCTTTTAGTTGAGGCAATCTCTTGGGGATACTTGGGGTCATCCTCGCAGAGGCAATCATCGACTTCGTATGGATCGATTGAATTTTCAAGACTTCCATACTTTTGGTTTAAAGTCGGTGCTGATTTTGGCTGACTGTCGTTTGGGCTGCTTGGCAGGCATCTATTGGTCATGTATGGCTCGTCGGTGCCATCCATCCCACGTCTTTGTCTGTAGTCTGTCTGGCCTCGTATTTGCTGTTGGCGTTCTGACGGAGGGGTGCGCTTTTCAGGTTTAGTCTGTAAATCGGATATGACGTTAGATCGCCTGCATTGCTGCTGTGTAGTTAAAGGCTCACTATACCTGGCCTTTATCGGACGATCTCCTCGAAACTTGTCTTGGCGCCACTTCCATTGTTCGGCTTAAAAGTGGACATGTGTCATCCTTGCAAGGGATTTTTTCAAATCTTTGGAAAGGCGGTTGGGCACCTCTGCTTTGGTCTTCTGCTTGGGCTGTCTCTCGAATATACGATCTTCTCTGGGGAATCGGTTTTGCCCTCTGCTCGGCATCTTCGAAAGATTCTTCTGCATCGTACTCGTACTGGCCTTGTTGTCTGTCCTGAGTGTATTCTCGAGCAAATTGATTGGAAGTCCTCCTCCCTTGGTCTTGTTCCGTACTTTTCACGAAATCATCTTGAGGAGCATATTTGTACTCATCTCTTGCCTTCGACACCTTTGAAGGAGAACTCTCCCTTCGTCTCGCCACTTCATTTCTGGGTTGTCCTTGCCTCCGGGCTGGACACTCTACATAAATTATGTCTTCGGGCTGGTAACGTCTTTGGGGTCGCCTGGCCACTGGCTCTTCGCAGAATTCATCATCATCATCCGGATACGTTTTCTGCACGCGTCTGCATTGGCCGAGACAATAATCGTCCATAATTTGTGCAGCAAGTGCAGCGCACTGTTGTGCCCCATAGGAATCTGCCCCAGAGCTACGGGATCCCCGACTCCTCACAATCGGAGCGGAGTTCGTGGTATCTTTTGAGCTGGACCCAGGAATATCTTCCTGGCGGGGTTGCGGCATGCGTTTGAGGCGGTTGGGACTGAACTGCTCTCTCGTTTGTGCATCAGTTGGAGCATCATCAGGTTCGGTGTTGCTGTATTTCCTCTGGTATCCAGCAAACGGCTGGGGACGCCGCAAGGTTGGCTCTTCGTTGGCTATCGATTCCTCTCCCTGATGATAAAGTTGAGCGACTTCCTGAGCTGGCGTACAGTAGCAATCGTCATATTCATATGGGTCTGAACCTTCCGGATAATAAAAATTTTGATCCTGCTCGTTTTGCTCTGTGTTCTCCTGATGACTAGGGTCATAGCTGTAGCTGCAGTCCGCCGGAAGAGCTTTGTTCTCGTTGGAGTTGTAATACTCGAACAATGGAGTTTCGGCTGATTGTAGTTGCTGTCCGCTGGCGTCGATGTCGTTATAGTCTCGATTGTCCTCTTGGATCTCCCTGTTGTCAGCAGGATGATAGGTACAGAAGACTTTGTTATTAGTTCGTGGCCGCATGTCATTTTCTGGATTAAACTTGAGCAACAGGACATTGCACTCCTCCTTGTCAGAAGGTCGACTGCAGTAGTTACTGCGGGCGCTACTACTTTGGTGCTCGGTGGAGTTTCTGCTGCATTGAGAGTTACTGTTGCTGGCCTCCATCCTCGGTCTGAGTGGTTGCAGATGCTCGGCTGGTGAATTGCGAGGAGTGGTTGTTGGTGCGACCTCGAACGGACCATTGTGGCTATAGTTTTCTGTAGGTCTGGCATGTCTTTGGAATCGTCCTTCCCGATCAGAGTCTGGGGGACACGGACATGCGCCTCTAACCTGATACCGTTCCCTCGACTGCTGGTGGGACGAGGAGTTGCTAGACTCCTTTTCATCTTGCCCATCGTACTGACGATCGGCTCCGGAAGTGGCACGTAATGGTAATGAAGTTACCGGCGTCTCGCAGTCCGAGTCAGACAAGGACGAGATATCGAATTCAACGAATTCCTTGGAGCTTTTATTTGGAGAAGCTATAATGCAAAAGAGATCATTAATGCGAATTGAGTGGATCTCGAAACTGGCTGGACTTACAGATATCTGGATCGACGTGTAAACTGCGCCTACACTCCACCAAGTTCTTGCTCATGACTGACATGACATCATCAATAATAAACTGCAGTTGGTCGTCGTAGACGCTAGGTCTGCCGTTGAACTGCGGGTTATTATCGAGTGATTGCTGTATGGATCGAATCGTGCGGATATGTGTCCTTACCTTCTCTGCCTCATCCGGTTCCAGGTCGGGCAGGAATTGGAGGTCCTTGAAGATCGAGCGACAGGGAACGTAGGTTAATCCCTCCCGCTGGCTACGCTTGATGGCCTGGCATTCCGTGTCGTAGTAGTTGCGAAGGGAGAGCACCTGCAGCTTAACCTGATCCGTCGTTAGGCCGTTGTTGAGAATCCGCGTGATGCGGTTCCAGGCGCTCTGCTTTAGGGGCGCACAGTGGTAACCCGGGGACTTGGGATTCCAGAGACACTGGTTGGCTCGGTACATGCGAATTAGCCGCTCTACATTGACCTCCTCGTTGGTTAGTCGCTCATTTTTCGTGTAAATGTTGTTCTTCGAGTCCATTTTGTATGCCCGTCCACTCGTACCCCACGGCGCCTGGAACCAATGTACCATAGAAAAGGGAAAGACTTGTACAAAGAGAACAGACAACACAACTATAAATTTAGATTTAGATGTGTCAAAAGTTGAAGTACATACATATATATTCCTAACTGCCAAAACAGAGCCAGCCTTATGGGAAAATCGTGCAGTAAGAGCGAGAGAGATACATACATATGCGTCGAACCAGCAGTAGCTGCGTTTTAACAAAAATAAGGTATATAATGGAATATATCATTAATTTCATCAATTAATTTGCATGTAACTTATTATTCATTATCGGTAGCTGTTGGGCTCTTGATCTCTCTTCTTGGCGGGATAATTCTTCACAACACTGTCCTTTTTCCTCGTACTTTCGTTTTATGTTTGACCTTTTTTTGGTTAAACCTTATTTTGAAAACAGTCTAATAAAAGGGGATCCCCAAAATTAGCCAATCTTGTAGGAAATTGATTCATTAATCGGATCTATCTAGCTAGTAATATTTGACGGAATATCAAAATCGAGGAATATGTAAACAGAACTTGAATTCGTCAGTATATTTACGGTATATTTTGAAAATGAGGCGGTATGTTTCGGTATATTTCTGAGGGTCAGACGGTCACACTGTGTGAAAGAGTGCAAAAGAAAATAGGAAAATAAAATTGATACTGTAACAAAATCCAACTCCAAAACACTCAACGCATGCGAGTGCATTTACCAGCTGCACCTCATCATTCCGGGCTAGTGCAAACGACCAAAGCCGTAAAGTCAATCGAGCTTAATCAAAACAGGGCCGCTACAATTCATCCGCGAACTGTGCGTCTGGTATAACCACAAAATTTTCTCTGCATTTGAGTCTAATTTTCGCGAGTCGGACTATATAGAACACACCAATCAGATATCAGATTGCCCGTGTGGGGCTCGTCACTACCTTTGCTGTTATTCCATTTGTATTAATGCTTGTTTCAAACGAGACCCCAACACCGAAACATAAACGACAATCGTTTACCACGTAAACAGCTGCATGCGAAAAGATAAAAGTTTGTTCGAACACTAACTAGAGCCGCAGTTCCGCCAGACGGATACCAGATCAGAGACAGAGAGTGCAAAGATGTCCGCGGAGCGCGAAATTCCCGCTGAGGACAGCATCAAAGTTGTCTGTCGCTTCCGACCGCTTAACGACAGTGAGGAGAAGGCCGGCTCGAAGTTTGTCGTCAAATTCCCCAACAATGTCGAGGAGAACTGCATATCTATTGCGGTAAGTGTATTTCACCTAAGTAAAGCGATCCACTCCACCGACAGTTCCTCCTCCACACACATTTCATTTCCCTTTACTTTGTGTGTTATGCATTAATCTCTGCGTGCTGTCACGGCCCATGACGTCATGCCTAACATTAGACCGTACGCTCCCGTACGTTAGCCTTCCCCAGCAGCAGTGCCGTCGACCAATTGGAGCAGTTTGGGTAATTAGCGCAAAGCTTGTGTATTCCACATCCAGTGAGCGTGTCTCGAGCGACTGCCCACAGGCGGAAAACCATAAGAAATCCGAAATTACTTCAGATCAATAGTATATTTTGCAACAAATTGATTTTCCGCCCAAAGACAGAAAAAAAGAGCGAGGGAGAGGGAGAGTGAAACGGGGTGTTTTTGTGTGTATGGGAACGTCAAAGAATAAAAGCCGAAAGCAAGGCAGTCCCCACCCACTATTATAGTCCCACTTGTGTCCCAATCCACAGAAATTTGCATTGCTAACCTTCTCTGCAGCAGCGGTCTATACGTCTAAAGTTCCAGCCAGTCCGCCTTCTATGCTTACCTCACTTACATTGTACCTGCCCCCTGTGTCTTCATGTGTGTGTGTGTGTGTGTGTGTGTGTGTGCCCTCCCATTGCCACCAGCTGCCGCCACTTCACTCCACCAGCCGCAACAGTGACTCATGCACGCAAACCACATAAAAAGAGGAACATAGGGCAATGGAATTTACTGGTTTTTGGCGCTCATAAATAATAGATGTATGTATTGTGGAACCACTGAGTTTTCACCATAACTCCACCTGTAAACGAACATTTTCCCAGAAATCGGTTTGGCAACAACAGTTTCTACTACCAGTTCTGTTGCCACTAGCTACTTACTGTTAAACATTAAGATTGTTAACCGCTATACAGTCAGCACAACATTTATTCGGACACTCGTCTATGTCAACTTTCTTTATAAATAACTTAAAAAGTATTTAAGTTTGACAAAAAAATTTTATTTCATTATGAACATGGATATTACTACTACAAATTTTAAAACTAAAAACAAAAAAAAACTTCTTTGGCGTATCAAAAAAAATTAAAAGTATCAAAAAAGCCACTTTTTTACGCACAACAATTATTCGGACACTTTTTATTTTGTACGAAAAAAACTTATTGTCCCCAATTTTTTTCTGATTTCAATATTTGGTGGGGCCGCCCTTAGCTTCAATAACAGCTTTTAGACGTCGGGGCATACTTTTTACCAAATGATTGGTTTCATTTGGATCAATTTTCTCCAATTTCGTCATCAGACCCGTTTTAAGGATTTCCTTGGAGGAAATTTTATGTTTCCTAATTTTTTTTTCTAGCAAATCCCAAACATGCTCTATGGCGTTCAGATCTGGTGACTGCGGCGCCGTTTTTAACTGCTTGCACTGATACAACAGCCATTCTTGGACCAAAAACGAGGTATTTTTGGGGTCATTGTCTTGTTGAAACAAGAAATTCATCGCTTTAAGACCCAATTTTTCGACACTCGCCATTGAATTGTCAGTCAAAATTTTCTTGTAGATGTGTTTGTCCATCTTGGTCTCAATAAACTCCATTTGCCCAGGTCCAGCTGCTGCTATACACCCCCAAACCATTACATTTCCACCGCCATGCTTCACTTCATTTCCGATGTGAACAAAAAAAAAAGATTGGAGTTCGCAAAACTTCACTTAAATAAGCCAGATTCTTTTTGGGAGAATGTTATATTTAGTGAGGAGTCTAAATATAATATATTCGGACATGATGGACCATCCAAAGTATGGAGAAAGGATAATCAAGCCATGAAAGAGAAAGACCTCATCCCAACAGTGAAGCATGGCGGTGGAAATGTAATGGTGTGGGGGTGTATAGCAGCAGCTGGACCTGGGCAAATGGAGTTTATTGAGACCAAGATGGACAAACACATCTACAAGAAAATTTTGACTGACAATTCAATGGCGAGTGTCGAAAAATTGGGTCTTAAAGCGATGAATTTCTTGTTTCAACAAGACAATGACCCCAAAAATACCTCGTTTTTGGTCCAAGAATGGCTGTTGTATCAGTGCAAGCAGTTAAAAACGGCGCCGCAGTCACCAGATCTGAACGCCATAGAGCATGTTTGGGATTTGCTAGAAAAAAAAATTAGGAAACATAAAATTTCCTCCAAGGAAATCCTTAAAACGGGTCTGATGACGAAATTGGAGAAAATTGATCCAAATGAAACCAATCATTTGGTAAAAAGTATGCCCCGACGTCTAAAAGCTGTTATTGAAGCTAAGGGCGGCCCCACCAAATATTGAAATCAGAAAAAAATTGGGGACAATAAGTTTTTTTCGTACAAAATAAAAAGTGTCCGAATAATTGTTGTGCGTAAAAAAGTGGCTTTTTTGATACTTTTAATTTTTTTTGATACGCCAAAGAAGTTTTTTTTTGTTTTTAGTTTTAAAATTTGTAGTAGTAATATCCATGTTCATAATGAAATAAAATTTTTTTGTCAAACTTAAATACTTTTTAAGTTATTTATAAAGAAAGTTGACATAGACGAGTGTCCGAATAAATGTTGTGCTGACTGTATATATGTTCAATTAAACGGTGAACTTACCGTAACTCGAACTGTAACGTAGTCGAACATTTTCGCGGAAATTATATCTAGAGCAACAATGTCTTACATATATCCTTGTCTATCTCGTCCCATCAGCGAACTAGTTCTTTCGTTGAACCATAGCAGGCAGCTCTATTACATACAAACACATGAAAGTAAATGTGTATGCATGTATTTATCATTACTAACGCTTCTCTTTCGCTCTTTCTTTTGCTGCTCGTTATTCATTACTGCTTTCCTCCCATCTCCACACCACTCCGCTCGTCTCTTTCTTTTGTTAATGCTCATAATTACAATCCGTTTCGCGGCCATGCGTTCAAAAATGATTTGAAAGCTGCCAGAAATCCGGTAGCGGCAGGGAAGGGGTAGGGTAAAAGCTGAAGATCGGCTAGAAATTTGGGAGAAAAGAAAAGAAAAAATCTTAATACATGTCTCTTTTTTCAGGGCAAAGTCTACCTATTCGACAAAGTCTTCAAGCCGAATGCCTCCCAGGAGAAGGTTTACAACGAGGCGGCCAAGTCCATTGTCACGGACGTCCTGGCCGGCTACAATGGAACGATATTCGCCTATGGCCAGACCTCGTCCGGCAAGACGCACACAATGGAGGGCGTCATTGGCGACTCGGCGAAGCAGGGCATTATTCCCCGCATTGTCAATGATATCTTCAATCACATCTATGCCATGGAAGTGAATCTGGAGTTCCACATAAAGGTCTCGTACTATGAGATCTATATGGACAAGATCCGAGATCTGCTGGACGTGTCCAAGGTGAACCTGAGCGTGCACGAGGACAAAAATCGAGTGCCCTATGTGAAGGGTGCCACGGAGCGGTTCGTCTCCTCGCCAGAGGATGTATTTGAGGTGATCGAAGAGGGAAAATCGAATCGTCATATTGCCGTTACAAGTGAGTGGTCGAAATGGGCTTGTGCTTGGGGTTTACTGAAATGATCCATTCTTTGCAGACATGAACGAGCACTCCTCTCGATCGCACTCAGTTTTTCTGATCAACGTGAAACAGGAGAATCTGGAGAACCAGAAGAAACTATCGGGTAAACTATATCTGGTCGATTTAGCCGGTTCCGAGAAGGTTTCCAAGACAGGAGCAGAGGGAACGGTGCTCGACGAGGCGAAGAACATCAACAAGTCGCTGTCGGCGCTGGGCAACGTGATCTCAGCGCTGGCGGATGGCAACAAAACGCACATACCCTATCGCGACTCGAAGCTGACGCGCATCCTGCAGGAGTCGCTGGGAGGCAACGCACGCACAACCATTGTCATCTGCTGCTCTCCGGCCAGCTTCAATGAGTCCGAGACGAAGTCCACGCTGGACTTTGGCCGGCGCGCCAAGACAGTAAAGAATGTGGTCTGTGTGAACGAGGAGCTCACCGCCGAAGAGTGGAAACGACGCTACGAAAAGGAGAAAGAGAAGAACGGTCGCCTCAAGGGCAAGGTGGAGAAGCTGGAGATAGAGCTGGCTCGTTGGCGGGCGGGAGAGACAGTCAAGGCCGAGGAACAAATCAACATGGAAGATCTCATGGAGGCCAGCACGCCCAATCTGGAGGTGGAGGCAGCACAGCAGAAGGCTGCGGAGGCGGCCAGTGCCGCTCAGAGGACGGCCCTGGCCAATATGTCCGCTTCGGTGGCTGCCGACGAACGGGCCCGCCTGGCCACGGAGTGTGAACGTCTCTACCAGCAGCTGGACGACAAGGATGAGGAGATTAACCAGCAGAGCCAGTATGCCGAGCAGATGAAGGAGCAGGTCATGGAGCAGGAAGAGCTGATAGCCAATGCCCGGCGGGAGTATGAAGCTTTGCAGTCAGAGATGGCACGCATCCAGCAGGAGAACGAGTCTGCCAAGGAAGAGGTTAAGGAAGTGCTGCAGGCGCTGGAGGAGCTGGCTGTCAATTATGATCAGAAGTCGCAGGAAATCGACAACAAGAACAAGGACATCGATGCCCTCAACGAAGAACTGCAGCAAAAGCAGACTGTGTTCAATGCCACGTCCACAGAGTTGCAGCAGCTCAAGGACATGTCCTCGCACCAGAAGAAGCGCATCACTGAGATGCTGACCAACCTGCTGCGCGATCTCGGTGAAGTGGGCCAGGCCATAGCCCCCGGAGACTCCGCCATCGATCTCAAGATGAGCACCCTAGCCGGCACAGATGCCACCAAAGTGGAGGAGGACTTCACCATGGCCCGCCTGTACATCAGCAAGATGAAGACTGAGGCGAAAAACATTGCTCAGCGCTGCGCCAACATGGAGGCCCAGCAGTCGGACTCCAACAAGAAGATATTCGAGTACGAGAAGGATCTGGGAGAGTACCGTCTGCTCATCTCGCAGCACGAGGCGCGCATGAAGTCGCTACAAGAGTCGATGCGGGAGGCGGAGAACAAGAAGAGGACTCTCGAGGAGCAGATCGATTCCCTGCGCGAGGAGTGCGCCAAGCTGAAGGCTGCCGAACACGTGTCCGCCGTCAATGCCGAGGAGAAGCAGCGCGCCGAGGAGCTGCGCTCCATGTTCGACTCGCAAATGGACGAGCTGCGTGAGGCCCACACCAAGCAGGTGTCCGAGCTGCGGGACGAGATTTCCGCCAAGCAGCACGAAATGAACGAGATGAAGGATGTGCACCAGAAGCTGCTGCTGGCCCACCAACAAATGACCGCCGACTACGAGAAGGTCAAACAGGAGGAGGCCCAGAAATCCAACGAACTACAGAACATGATTCTCACCAGCGAGCGACGGGAACAGGCGCGCAAAGACCTCAAGGGCCTCGAAGACACCGTGGCCAAGGAACTGCAGACGCTGCACAATCTCCGCAAGCTCTTCGTTCAGGATTTACAGGTAATGGTGCCCCATACTTAATGTTTCTTTCAATTAAAAAACTGATCTTTCCCACATTTTGTTTAATAGCAACGAATCCGAAAAAATGTGGTCAACGAGGAGAGCGAGGAGGATGGCGGATCGTTAGCGCAGAAGCAGAAGATCTCCTTCCTGGAGAACAACCTCGATCAGTTGACCAAGGTGCACAAACAGCTGGTGCGCGACAACGCTGACCTGCGCTGTGAGCTGCCCAAGCTGGAGAAGCGTCTACGCACGACAATGGAAAGGGTGAAGGCCCTGGAGACGGCGCTAAAGGAGGCAAAGGAGGGTGCTATGAGGGATCGCAAACGCTACCAGTACGAGGTGGATCGCATCAAGGAAGCGGTACGTCAGAAGCATCTAGGACGGCGGGGACCGCAGGCACAAATCGCCAAGCCCATTAGAGCGGGACAGGGCGCCATTGCCATACGAGGCGGTGGCGCTGTCGGCGGAGCTCCATTGCAGACCCCCACCAACTCCTAGATTCACACACACCACCACGCACCCCGTCGCCGCCCAGTCCATCTCCGCTTTAAACTAAAAACTAAATGGATTGATTACGTTATACATACTTAAAATAATTGATAATTGCCTTCGCTTAAAGAGATGTCGTTTCGCGATCATGTGCAGCGCTTTAAATATATATATATATACATAAAAATATAATATAAATAATTGAATGAGTGGAAAACGGAAAATAATAACTAAATTTTACAAAAGCAAACAAAAACCCACAGATATTTAAGGACATCTATTGTACGTTTAAGAATATTTATAAACTTTTCAAAACATAAAACTAAATAAAAGTCGCAGACAAATTAATTACAGAGTTGAAATTTATATTCCTTTTAGCTAATTATTTATAATATTGTTTATATTTTTATTGGTGGTCAATTCTCGAAAGATTGAATGTAACTAAAGTCGTATGTGGTAGCCACTTCCACCCGCGTTGTGATGCTCCCAGACCTCTCGTGTGCTCACCTGCCACTCGTACCACACCTTGTCCGCATCGACGCAGCGCCAGAACTTGACTGAGATTGTCTGTCCCTCCTTGAGGGTCCTCGGATGCTGCAAGAACACGATTAGAACGATTAACCATTATGATCAATGAAAAGCCGGGACCGAACGCCATCACTTACTGTCGGAAAGAACATGGGAAACCACGAGAACATGCCGGGCGTGTGGGTCAGTGGGTTGATGCTCAGGTGGATATCCTTATAAAGCATTGTATCAAAATAGCCACCAATGCCATGTAGCACGCAGTCTTTTTGGACAGTAAAAGAGATCTCCTTGCAGCGTGTATTGTCAATAGTCGCCTCACGATTCGGATGTGAGAATTCAAACAGAGCTTGGGGATTGTCAATGTGATAAACGTTTTTGAGGAGTGATACATAACCATAGTCGAAGGCTGGAACGATGGTGTCCATCTGGCTGACATTCTGATGCAGCACTGCTGACATGATTGGATTGATGTACGACGTTGACTTGTAGGGTATGCTTATGCCATCCGTTTTGAGCAGCTTCAATGCGCCGTCAAGGCACTCTGGCGACAGTTCGTTATCCCCAAACGAGCCAAGCAGCTCGGAGACGAGAATATCAGCCTGCTCTGGAGGTGAAAAGTCGCGCATGTCCTTGGAGAATATGTGCACATCTAAATTATAATTAGAATCAGGATAACTCATATCCGTTTTTCACTCTCTGCTGCTTACCTTTGTCTTCCCAAAGAGTATCTACCATATGGGAGAGGGTGCGAATGGCATTGGAATTCTTTTCGATGATGTAGAGTCGCACCTGACGCTTTGTCAATTCCGCGGCATTAAAGATGGCCCTCGCTAAAGGACCACGTCCCCCACCCAGCAACATCACTACGGTCTGGAGATTGAATGTCAGGGATTAGCTGGAATCTGAGCCCAATTGAAGACTAGTTTCCTTACCAGCTTGTTCGGCGCGTCTATGTCGCTCACTCGATCAATCAGAGCCGCTTTTACCGCGTTCTGGTAGATTTTATACTTCACTGGATCCGACTCGAACACCTCGTATGTATAGCTATCCAGATTATCGAAGAGAGGTTGCAGTGGAATCTCCAGAACGTTTTCATAACTAATTGGCAAAGGGTTAGTGTGCGGATGAAAGATTCTGCTCTGCTCCACAGACACTTACCTATTAAGAATGTGGCTGTCGTTGTGGTCACTGGCGAGTTTCCGCAAATAATCGGCGTACTGGGAAATAGACAGGTCATTCGGATTGGCGGAGATTATTATATTGGCCCGTGCCGAGAGAAAGTGGCCTATGACTATCTGCCACTGCTTCTGCAGAACATAGTAGTTGGCTTTGTTTCGGATGAACAGAGAGGATGGAATGATAATGGCTTCGATGGGCTCGCCTAGCCACCGGCGAACCGTCTCCTTACTGGGACGATTCAAGTCATTCAGCTCAATTACAACTTTCACTTTGCTGTTGTGCTTGACGGCAAAGCGCAGGCTATTCCACCAAGTCCATGGATCTTTCGCCTCCGCCTCGGCTATTTCTGCATCGGTGACGTCTTTGCGGTGCTCGAAGCTACCTATCTCTGGGTTGCTGATTGGTACTTGTATAAACCAGTTGCCTAAATGGAAATTAAACATATACATTTTTAATTGGATTCGTTTTACGGCAGTTTACACGCATAACCTTTCGTTTTGGCCCTTACGATCTCGGCCAAGTTGTCGATATTTGGTCCCCGCAGTCGCTTCATCATGCTACCAACATTCTGCAAATGCTCCGCCCATGCTACATCTCGAAGGAGAATCTGTTTGGCATGCTCGCGTAACTTGGGGTTCGGGGAATCGACATCCACATCGGACAGCAAGAAAATCATCTTCGAGTTCCAGTCGACAGCGTTCAGCAATGTGCCCGGGTATGTGGGGTCCGTCTCATATGGGTCCAGCGGGACCATATTAGCATTGATCGATGTGGCCACCACATTGTAGTTGTTAGCATTAGCGTGTTGTATCAGTTTTGGTATACTGTTCGTGCTCTCATGCAGAAGGCAAACGTATAATTTCATTTTAAAAATATGAGTCGTCAAAAACGCGGTCACCGGCTTGATTGAACGAACTTAACCTTCTTAGCCCCCTCGAATTAAACAGGTGAACAGCTTGAGTTAAGCCGCGGAAAATAATACTGTATGTACATATTACTGGTAGGTCAAATATCTTTCACCTGAACTTCGCTTCAATTCTTCAAGATTTAAAATTTTCGTGGAGTGAATTTTTAATTGTGGTTGACAACGGGCTAATCGTTCTCTGTCCTTAATTTAATAGTGCTGCCACACAGTTTTTGAGACCAGGCTACCATACCGTTCGATAATATGTTGATATTTTGTTTTCTAATTTGTTGCTGATAATTCGCTTGTTTTCTTATTTGTGGGTGGAGCTTTGCCTCGTTTGGCATACTTGAAGTACCTTGGCACCAGTCAGCTGAACGCTTCATGGCGAACCGTGATGTATTCTCCAAAATCCTGCCAAATGTCAAGTTGGCCACTCGATACGATGAAGACGGACGCGAAGTTCAGGTAACTACATCTGAGCCAGCTGAAATGCCTCTTAGTAATGGCCGTTCTTGTTCTTTAGGTGGAGAGTCGCGAGGACTCGGATGCGACAGCAAAGCAGCAGGACACTTTCGACATTCTAGTGGACGCCGGCTACTATCGGGCCCGCATCAAAGGCCTGTCCGCCTTCGACAAGGTTGTGGGCGGCATGACTTGGTGCATCGAATGCGCCGACTATGACGTGGACGTGGATCTGCTCTTCCACGAAAGTCTATCGATTGGCCAAAAAATGTAAAATTAACCCTTCGAATTTCTTGGAAAAGAATTTGATCCATCTTATATATCTGCAGAGCTCTCGTGGAAAAGATTGTTTCGGTTCTGATCGATATGAAGTGTCCACATAGCTTGGAGCCGCATCAAGTGCAGGGTCTGGAGTTTTTAGCCATTCATCCCGTCATCCAGTGGCTAGTGAAGACTTCGGTAAGTAGCTTTTCCACCGATGTATGCATATAAATAGAGAAAACCTCTTTGCAGGTGGAAAACCGAGCTGTGCGTGGACACCGCTTGAAGAAATTTGCCATTGGGGAGTTCCACAATCATTATCAGTATAAAAGCGACAAAGACAATCTGACCAAAATACGTCTTGCCTCTGCCAATATAAAGACGATTCAGGATCTCTACAGCCCATTTAGGATGTACCAACGCCAGGAAACAGCTGAAGATGATGAAGTGTCGCGGGTGCGCATGACGCTACTTGAGTACGGAGATCCAGGGCCGACGTTCAAGGCAAGCGCAGGCCGCAAGGCAGGGTTGGTCCCCGACGAGGCAGATGAGGTGAGAACAAATAAATTCTTTTAAAATGCCTAAAAAAAAACTACGAGAATGTTTTCTTTAGTCACTTGTTCTGGAGCAGTACCTTCGTACCCTATCGCTGGCTAAAGCAGACTTGAAGGGCACTCAGAAACGTATAGATCTCGATCCCACTGTGCGGCATGCACTACAGCTGCACTATGCGGAATTTAAGCTGGAAATGGAAACCGATACGCAGGAACTGAAGACACAAAATCAACAGAAACGCCTAGAGGCAGCCAAAATTGCGTTGGAGCATAAGGTGAAACGCTTCTGCAAAGAGAATGAGCAACTTGAAGAGGCGGAAAAGGAGCAGAGCCAGAAAACCGAAGAAAAGGAAGAGCAGCTGAAGACCCTCAAAGCTGAACTAAAGACTCACAAAGAAACGGAAGAGAGTGCGGACTCAAAGTGAGTTCGAAACTGTTAGATGGATTTTGATAAATGATGTTACATGATTATCTCTCTAGGCTGCTGGAAAAGGTAAAGACTCTGTTGAGGCAGCACGATGAGCTAAAAAAGAGTGAGGCGGAATTCAAGGAGTCCTGTCGGACGGATTTGGCCAACCTACAGCAACAGATTGAGTAAGATTGAAACTTTTAAAGTATAAAGTAGCCTAAATCATACATTCTACTGCAGTGAATTGGAAGCCTTTAGTGCCCAGGATGCGGAAGCTCAGGCAGCTGCCTTGGCAGGGGAAGAAAAGCGGCTCAAGGATCTGCGACTGAAGGTGGCCAAACGAAATCGCGGCATTGTGGCCATTGAACGGAAGCTGGACGCGATACCCGATCGCACAGAGCTGGCCCAGTACCAGCGACGCTTCCACGAACTCTACAACGAAATGAGTGGCAAGCACTTGGAAACAAAGCAATATTATATACTGTACAATACGCTGAACGACAAAAAGCGCTACCTGGAGAAGGAGCTGACGATGCTGAACTCCGTCTGCGAGGCCTACAACGAGGGCATGATGAGTCCCCATGGACGTGAGGACTTCATACGGCAGTTCGAGACGATTGTGGATGGAGTGAAGAGTGCCCAGGACAAGGTGCGTCACAAGTACAACGAGGAGCGTATGCGACGAGACGAGCTGAATGAGGAATTGCAATCCCTGCTCGAACTCCAACGCCAGTATGCCTCGGCCGTCAAGCAACTCACCCGCGAGTGCCAGCGATGCGAGCAACTGCAGCAGCACCTCAAGTCAATTAAAAGTAGGACACAGTCCTAGCCCCGCAATATGACATTTAATTAATTGGTTAATCCTCCGCGAGAGCGGACTATCCTCGAGGGGCCCTCGCAAAATTACTTAGTAAATTTGTTCAATAAATTATCTCCCCGTAATTGTGGTGCAAGTTTCCGAGAATTTGTTTTTGACTGAGTGGAGCCCAAGGATTCCCCTAGAGGGGATCAAGTGTACACGCCCCAATGATGCCCATTTGTCATGCTTAACTTTAACCTTTGGCAGTGCAGTTTCACATTTCCCAGAGACCCACGATTATAGTATAAGCGTATATTCGTGTATTTATGGAATTTCTGCCCCTATTGCTGCTTCTGCTGGTCGCTGGGTTCGCAGCATTTTAAATCCATATAGTGGAAGAGATAAAGCATCTGGCATGCACCAAAATACATTTGCATATTTACAGAGAAAGCAATTCAAATTGCCACCACAAGCTCTCTTCATTCCATTCAATTTGATTCTCCAATTAAGATGCGGACCGCTTACTGCCACGAACCGCAATCAGAGCCACTTCATGGGGGCAGAAGCACGGCGCAGGGAGCTCGGATCCCGGAGAAGCATGCCCCAGCTGACGGTGTTTTCTGTTAATTAATGTCCTTGCACCTTAACATTGAATTCAAGCTGAGCAATTGCAATTACACTTTATTGCGTGGCAATCAATTCCATTCAACAAGTGACATTGAGACAGAGACATACTTTCTTCCACCTCCTGGCTGCCAGCACTTCCTCAGATGGCTCCGCTTGTCCAGCCACCGAGGAAACCTTCGGCCAGTGTCAATGATAAATTTTTAGCATACATATAAGAAATATTTAAAGGGAGCCTTGGTGCTGGATTGAGCCATGTGCAGGGACTCAATAGAGTCCTTCACAGACAGTTGAACTACACCAATCGGCTGGCTCCTGGCTTCCATTGTGATAGTGAGGTCTGCCGCGCCGTTTTGCCTCCTCTAAATACCTCCGCTTTTCCTTATCACACTGTGAACACACTCGCGCATACAGCACCTACAAACATACATTCATACATACATACATACATACATACATACATATATGTATATATATATGTACATATATACGACACGTATACTCATCGAGCAACCAGCCAGCCATGTCGAAGAGTTGGGTATCTCTGGTGGAGGTGGAGGTCGTAGTTCCATGACTTTTCCCTCGGTAAAAGTGAAAGGAACAGGCCATAGGGGGAGCGGGCGAACAAGGGACGATCCCGCGTTTCCTCATTTATATTTGCTTTGGCTGTTTCCCCAAACCAAACCAAACAGGCACGCACACATGCAGCACAAAGGCTGAAAGGGATGGAGAAGAAAAGAGATAGAGAGTAATGCTAAAAAGATAGCGAGGAACGGAACACACATACGAGAACGAGTATAAGCCTTGACAAGAGTCAATCAGCATATTTGCTCGATGGAGGGAGCATGCCAAGCGGATAATCGATTCGAAATGTGTTTGAATAACAAATTACTGGAAATTGTGAATGCGAAAGTCATTGTAGCACATACATACATACATTTGTATACGAGAATACGGGTATAGAAACGTATGAGCGTGTGTGGACCCATCCTTTTCGGGTGAGAATTAAATGTATGCATCTGAGAAGTCAAAGCCGCCAGATTTTGCTGGCAACGTCTCCATCCTGACAGGCGACAAAGCTATGGCGGCACGTATGCTTATGGGACAAGGTCTGGATGTCTGCCCTGTTAACCACTTGTTGGCCTGTTGGTGACTGAACTTTTATCTCGAACTATTGAACTTTGGGGCACAAACAATGAACTGCCTTATTGTCAGAAAGAATGCCGTGTGGAACGTGGGGGTGGCTGTAGTTATCTCCCCCTATATCTGGATGGAAAAAGCAATAATACCCATCCACAGATGTTATTCCTTTGAGGAGGGGGAACGGGAAGGCTTAGCCACATGATGTGCGCAGAACTATAATTTTATTTCTGTGCTATTTAAATAATCACCCAAAATCGGTCAGAGTCGAAAGTTGGGGTTCGATTTGGTCAAGTGTCAGTGCACCTTTGGTAAACAAAGAGAGTGCCCTCTGGCTCTGGCGTGCATGCATCCTTCAGACATCTACACGACAACATACGCCGCAGACAAGTTTAAATCAAGCCACAGTAAAACATGCATTAATCAACTTCAGCAATGAACCAAGTTGCCCCCAGGACTAGGACTAGGAGCAGGACCAGGACCAGAACCCGACCCTAATCTCCCCCTCCACACTGCCATCAATTTGTCAATGTGTCACATGCGAGGGGAGCGGTCTATGATCAGCCGAAAGGAAATTTTCGAGCATTGATTTAATTAATTTATGTTATCCTGGCGGCCCTGGCAACAGCCGACAAACGCTAGACGCTTGCCACACGTGGTGTGGCAACTCTGGCCAGCAGTATCAGCATCCCATTCAACAGGTCTGTCCGCCAGCTTCCGTGCGAGGGACGAACAAAGCTTTCGGCAAAAGCTCGGATAAAGGCATGAATGAAAAGCGTCGTTTTACAACCGGCCGAACGACGATTTG